TTGGCCCTGTCGCCAGCTGGGGCCTGGGGTTCGCTAACCATGGCTTACAAGTAGGTGCCAGAGCCAGCTTGGCCAGGGCAGTGTGCGCCAGCACCACCGATCCGCCGGGATTGGCACAGGGACCAGCATGGGCCGGGATGCACTGGGATGGGGTCGGGTCCCTGCTCACTGCCCCAGGGCTTCCCTGCAGATCCGCCTCTCGGGAGGCAGGACGCCGTTTGAGGGCCGCGTGGAGGTGAAGCGAGGCAGTAAGTGGGGCATGGTGTGCAGCGAGGGCTGGACCACCCAAGGAGGCGATGGTGGCCTGTCGCCCAGCTCGGTCTGGGCTATTCCCTGCATGCGGTGACGGTAGGTGCCGGCGGGGAGGCCTCAGTGACATCCTGGTGAGCACAGGCACCGGTGCTTCCTGGTGGGGATGTATGGGGACAAAGGGATGTAGCTGCTCCATGCCAGGGGATGGGACCTGCATGAGCAGGCTGGGGACATGGGCAGGGCTGTGCCATGGTGGGTGCTGGCCGCAGCCCGGGCATGTGTGAGCCGGGGCACCCACAGCACCAGCCCCTGCCACCCGGCCTCACCCCTCCCCAGGAGACCTGGTACTGGATGCCAGACGTGACGGAGATGGTGCAGGCGGGTGAAGTGCGCTGGGCATGAGATGTCCCTGAGCCACTGCCAGCACCACGGCTCCAGCATCAACTGCAGGAACACGGGCACACGCTTCGCTGCCCGGCGTCATCTGCTCCGAGAGTGAGGGGCGGGGGGCTGCGGGCAACAGGCTCTGTGGTGGTGGGGTGGGCAATGGGGTCTGCAGGCAACGGGGTCTGGGGTGGTGGCGTGGGCAATGGGGCCTGGGGGTGATGGTGCAGCGGAGCCCAGAGCTGCAGATGAAGGGTCTGTGAGTCGCAGGGCTGGGGGCAATGGGGTTTGCAGGTGCTGGGGGGGGCTGCAGCTGATGGGAGGGTGCACTTCCCCCCCCCCCCCCCCCCCCCCCGGCCGGTCCAGCCCTGCCTGCTGTGGGTGCCTGCCCCATCCCTGAGCATCGCCTGCCCGGCAGCCGCCTCCGACCTGCTGCTACACGCGCCGCTGGTGCAGGAGACGGCGTACATTGAGGACCGGCCGCTGCACATGCTGTACTGCGCCGCCGAGGAGAGCTGCCTCTCCAGCTCGCCCGCCTCGCCAACTGGCCCTATGGGCACCGCCGCCTGCTCCGCTTCTCCTCCCAGATCCACAACAACGGCCGCGCCGACTTCCGCCCCAAGGCCGGGCGGCACTCCTGGGTCTGGCACGAGTGCCACCGGTGGGTGCGCGGCGCGGGCAGGGGGTGCTGGTGCTGCTGTGGGGTGGGTGATGGTGACACCGGGCGAGGGTGACACCCGGCGAGGCCCCTGCTGCTGCCCAGGCTCCAGTTTTGCCTGCTTTGGCTCGGGGCTGACCCTCCACGTGCAGTGCTGGGGCTGGGGGCCGTGTCCTGCAGCTGACACCCCGCTTGCCTGGGCCACCTTCCTGGGGACAGCCACGTCCCCTCCCAGGGCAGGGCCGGTGCAGCCACGGCGCTGTGGGTTCCCTCTTGCAGGCACTACCACAGCATGGACATCTTCACCCACTACGATATCCTCACCCCCAATGGCACCAAGGTGGCAGAGGGGCACAAAGCCAGCTTCTGCCTGGAGGACACCGAGTGCGAGGAAGGTGGGTGCCATGGATGGGGCCTTGAGGCACAATCCCTGCCCGTGTCCCCTGTCCCCAGCCGTTGTGCACGCTGGGGCCATGCGGGCAATGGAGGAGGACAAGCTGTTTTCTCTTGTCCCTGCAGACGTGGCCAAGCGGTACGAGTGTGCCAACTCGGGGAGCAGGGCATCACGGTGGGCTGCTGGGACCTGTACCGGCACGACATCGGACTGCCAGTGGATCGACATCACTGATGTCCAAACCGGGCAACTACATCCTGCAGGTGCTGAGCTGCCCCGCACCCCAGCTCTGCTCGAGCTGCAGCCACCCGCTCCCGGAGCGGTTGGAGTGCACAGGGGCTGCTGGGTGTGCGCTGGGGGGGCACTGCCTGTCCCTGTGCATGGAGACGAGGAGGTGCGGAAGCTGCTCGGGCTCTCTTCAGCCTGCACGCTCCTGCTCTGAGCAACCTTCGTGGGTACGTGGTGCTCAGTGACAGCCACCACAACGCATCCCGCTGCAGCAGGAAGCGAACCCCTGCCGGGACCGGGGGGATGGGAATGCCGAGCCGACGAGGTGTGGGGCTGCAGCACCGCCCGATGTGGGGCAGGGGGCTGCCGCCCTCACTGTTGGTGCCCCACAGGTCGTGATCAACCCCAACTTCGAAGTGGCAGAGAGCGACTTCACCAACAATGCCATGAAATGCAACTGCAAGTACGACGGGCACCGCATCTGGGTGCACAGCTGCCACATCGGTAACGGCCAGCACGCAGCATGGGGGGCCAGGGCACATGGGAGCAGGGGGGACTGGGCAGGGAGGCCCCAAGGCAGCGAGGAGGCTGTGGGCTCTGGGTGGCTGCCGTGGGAGCTGACAGCTCCTGCCCCCTCCTGCAGGTGATGCGCTCAGTGAGGAGGCCAACAAGCGCTTCGAGCAGTACCCGGGGCAGCTCAACAACCAGATCTCGTAGGGCCCAGCCCGGGAGACACCGCCGGGAGCCCCGGGGGGGGGGGGGGGGCACCTCCTGCCCTCAGCCTGCACCCGGGGGAGATGCTGCTGGGGCCTCTGGGGCCTCAGCCCAGCATCGCAGCCACTGGGCTCTGCGAGGCTGCCAGGACCTGCAGGCACCCACCCGGCATCGCAGCCACCACCCAACCACTGCCCAGAGACTGTGCCCACATCCCTGGGCCGTGGCACATGGGCACAGAGGTCCCGAACCCCACTGTGTCCCCCCCAGCTCCCTGTCACTGCAGCTGCACCTCCCTGCTCCCCCTCAGCCCCGGCTCCTCCCCAGGACCCAGCAGGGACCTGCAGCCCTGCACGGCCCCAGGAGCCCCTCCTGGTGTGGCTGCCCCTGCCCCACGGCCCCTTGCCGTGGTGTGGCTGCCCCTGCCCCACGGTCGCAGCGGCTCCCACACCCCTCTTAGCTGTAACTTTATTTTCTCTATAAAGTTGTCAGTTGTTCCCAGTGGCTCCCGGCTCTTCCTGGGCGGGGATGAGGAGTCTGGCAGGACCGGGAGGCTCGGCACGGCGTAGGGCTGGCTGGCACAGCACACCCCATGAGAGCTGCCAGTACCCATATGGAGCAAGGATCCCCCTTGCCCACACAGGCCCTGGCTGGGCAAGGACCAGCCCCACACCAGCACCGGTACTGGCAGCTGCTGGGATACAAGGAGATGGTACCAGGCCTGCTGGAAGAAGCCTGTGTGGGTGAGGAGGGACCAGCAGGACCTTAACTTTCAGCTGCCCCAGCCTGAAGCAGCCCCCACGGCTCTGGAGGGAGCAGCCGGAGCCACCCTGGCGCAGCAGGGCGGCGGTGAAGTGCTGGTTTCGCCCCACATGCAGTCCAAATGCTCGTGAGCAGAAGTCCCGCCGGGGGGCTGTGATCCGTGAGGAATGCAGCCGGCGCTGGCTCCAGGCAGCGGGAAGCTGCAGTCGCTGCTGCCGTGGCCGCGCTGCCAGGAACGCGGCGGCTCCGCTTCCCGGCGCGCAGCGGCGAGAGCCCGACGGGGAGCCCGGTCCTGTGCCCGGGCCGCTCTGCGCTGCCGCCCGCTCCCCAGGGCAGCAGCACCAAGGAGCTGCGCTGCTTTCACCTAAAAACACCAGGCTGGGCGAGGGAGCCCCGGCCCGCGCTGCTCCTGGCTCCACACGCGCATTCCTCCCGCCAGAGCCGGGCTGGACGCGGCTCCTCACGGCGGGAGCGGAGCAGGGGCTGTTCCAGGAACGCGGGGAACAGCCGGAGCTGCCCCTTCCCGGAAGGGCTCTCGGCCTCCAGCCGCAGAGCACAGGGAGGCCTCGGCTGTCCCCAGGGACCGGGCTGCACGTGCGGGGAGCTGAGCAGCGGCACAGACCCACACCGGGCTGCGGGAGGGACAGACAGGGACAGGCTCCCAGCCTCAGCCCTCCTGCACCCCAGCCAGCGAGGAACTGCCCAGACACTGCAGGGTCCAGCACCAAACCCCCCCTCTCACCATGGCTTTAAGCTGCCAGAGGGGAGACTGAGATGAGCTCTTAGGCAGAAGCTCTTCCCTGGGAGGGTGCTGAGGCCCTGGCACAGGGTGCCCAGAGCAGCTGTGGCTGCCCCATCCCTGGCAGTGCTCAAGGCCAGGTTGGACACAGGGGCTTGGAGCAAGCTGCTCTAGTGGAAGGGGTCCCTGCCTGTGGCAGGGTTGGAACTAGAGGGGCTTTAAGGTCCCTTCAAACCAAACCATTCCAGGATTCCATGTGACAGGAAGGGCAGAATCCTCCACAGCCCCTGCCCCAGGCAATGCTGTGGGCAGGAGACCCCACAGCACTGGGGGGTCCCTATAAAAGTGCTTTATTTGAGTACAAAGGGAAGGGGCTGCTCCATGAGTCCACCCCAGCACCGGGCCGGGCGCCCTCCAGTCCCCACAAGGGTCTCAGCGTGTCCGTGCGCAGCTCGTGGACACGGCTCAGTCCTGCACGTCCTGCCCCACACAGCAGCTCCGCTACTCGGTGGCCTCGGGGATGACGCTCAGCAGCAGCGTGTCGTGGCCGCGCCGCAGCAGCAGGGTCAGGCTCTGCTGTGTCCGCACCGCCTCATACACGTCCTCGGCGCGGCGTGACGCCTGCCCGTTGATCTCCAGCACCACGTCACCCGCCTTCACCCCGGCCCTGCGGCACAGTGACACAAGCACACGGTGGGTGAAGCAGGCGCTTCCCGGGAGCAAAGAGCACTGGGCACCATGAGGAGGCTTGTACCTGAGCCAGTGGGACCCAAACCGGGGCAAGGGCCACCAGTTGGTTTCTGCTGCACATCAGGGCCCAAGTCCTGCTGCCCTGGAGCAAACCAGAGCTAAATACATCCCACCCCACATAGCTGCTCCCTCAGGCCACCCCCCAAGGTACAGGGCGCTTACTGATGGGCTGGAGAGCCGATGATCACCTTGTGGATTAGCACTCCATAGGAGACGTCGGGGAAGCTGGGGTCCCGCAGCTTCAGCTCAGCCAGGATGCTGCAGGGGGGAAAGTCAGTATCAGGAAAGGAGCTGGGCGGCAGAGCAGGGCTCTCACCCCACCCCAGCTATACAGGACCTCTCCTCCCTGCCTCCCTGACACTGCCAAGCACAAGCACACAGCTGCAACCCCCAGGAGCACCCCAACACCATCATCCTGCCAAAACCCAGAGGACAAAGTGCTGACTGTGCCCGGGAGGGATGGAGCTACCAGAGCAGCTGCCAGCCGGGTCACACACACATCCCTGTCTAAGCAGCCCCAGGTCAGGTGCCCTCCTTGGTGTCAGATCCATTCTGCCGCTGCAGTTCCACTGCTCTGCTTTTGGGGGCAGGACAAGAACAAAAGTTGGGGCCCTGCTGTTGCCAGAGTTGTCAAGCAGAGGTAAACCTGCTCCTCTCCTCCAGAGCCTACAGACTGAACACCCCCGTTCCTCCTACCCCCCAGTGCTGGCTTAAATTGTGCACCCCTCCCTGCTCCTCACACTGTGCTGTGCAAGCTGCACCCCCTTTCCGATGTCACAGGATCACAGCAAGGCTGGCGTGGGAAATGAACCTCTGGGAATCACCCTCCCCAGGCCCTGCTCAAGCCAGCTCAGCCCAGGACTGTGTCCAGGGAAGCTTTCGGCATCTGCAGCGTTGGTGACGCTCTGACCTCTCTAGGTGCCTGTGCCAGGCTTCTGCCACTGTCCCCACAGTGACAGTGGCTCCTTGTGCTCAGATGTAGCCCACGTGTTCCAGTTTGTGCCCCCTGCTCTGGTCCCGGCTCTGGGCACTCACAGAACAACCACGCCACGTGTTCTGCTCCATAACTGAGTCATTCCGCTCCCACCTCAGGAGCTCCACGTGCCCTAGGGCAGGCCTCTGACAACGGTCCATGTGCGCCAGGCCGCAGCTGGGCTCCCACATGCCAGAGGCTCTGCCGAGTACCAGCACCATCTACTGGGCACCGGCCGAGCATCCAGCAACGCGGAGCGTTCCCCAGCCACCACTGCCTCCGTCTCACAGCGACCCTCTCCCTCCGCTGGTGTGGCAGGCAGGACCCCAGCCCCTGCTCGTGGTGCCCAGAGCTGCAGGCAGGACCCAGCCCCTGCTCGTGGTGCCCATAGCTGCAGGCAGGACCCCAGGCCTGCTCGTGGTGCCCAGAGGTGCAGGGCAGGACCCCAGCCCCTGCTCGTAGTGCCCAGAGCTGCAGGCAGCCCTTCCCAAACCAACCAACACACCAAAGCCACCGGAGCTTTGGGAAGGGCAGAGCGCAGCCCTCAGAGGTGCTCCTGCCCAGCATGCTACAACCACCAAGCCAAGGCGCATGCTAAGCCCCAGGTAAAGGTCTCTCAAGAGCTGGCTGCAGAAGCCAAGGAACCAGAGCGGGCACCTCTGTCCTTGGGAGGGGGGAGCTGCTCCCAGGAGAGCTCCCAACACGTGCTCCTGATGCATCCCTGGTGCTGCCATCAGCATTCAGGTGAATGCTGCTGCAGCAGCTCCCTCCTGTCCCACAGCCCTGAGCAGAAGCTCCAGGCAGGGCTGTCCTCAGCAGGGCTCAGGGTGTTTGGCCACAGGCATGTCTTGGGCCACCCACTGAAGCAAGGGGTGATCCTTCTCTCTGCCCAAGCAGGCTGTTTGTCTGCAGCCCTCTGCTGACCAGAGCGCACCTTGAGATGCAGCAGTAATACAGGACCCTCCCCAAGCCACAGCCCAGGAGCATGAAGAGTCTCAGACCCACAAGAAGTTATCCCCTTCCCACCTGCCAGGGCTGTACCGGTTAAACACCACGATGTGCTCCTTCCAGAGGCAGCACCCAGGAGCCTCCTATCACACCAGCAGCAGCCATGTTGTGTGTGCTCACAGAGCTGCTCTCCTGCCTTCCTCCCGCTCCCCAGCTGCCCCTCCTGCAACCACAGTGGTCAGGGCTCACTCTGGAAGCCCCATGTAACAGAAGTGCTTCCGCACCACAATCCCCAGCAGACCCCCCCTCACCAAGGGTACCGCTTGCCCAACTCTGATCACAATGTTCCGCTGCCCCTCGTGTGTCTGTTACACAACGTTTCTGGTGGTTTCACCTTCCTGCTGTGCTGCAAAGGGCGCTGATCCAACTCCCTCTGAGTAACAACTACCCTGGACGGAGTTACAGCTTCTGCCACACGTGTAGAAACCTGCAAGCTTCTCATTGACCCCTGACACAGCCTTGGAGCCTACACACAACATGAGCACAGAGATCTCAGCGTGAATGCTTCAGCCTCCCCACACCAGGCACTCCCAGTTTGGAAGATCCCATCACAGTCACCATGCCCCACAACAAGAGCAGCCTTAGAACACGCACCTGGGTGTAAGAGTCAGCATCATCACCCCAATGTAGCGGCGCTTTGTCTCTGTGCTGCCAAACCAAGAGCCTGTCAAAGGAAATGACATGGAATGACCCACGTGCACTGGGAGCAGTGCTGGGCTGTCACAGAGCCCACACACCCCACAGCAGACAGCAGCTGTGGGGTCATTCTGATGCCCAACCAACACCTCATCTAAGGTGGAGTTTCACATTACTGCAACTGTGCTGCTTTGAGCTGTTGGCTTTTGGACTGAGAATACCCCTCCAGTGTCAGCATGAGAACCCCTGCACAGTGTCAGCATGTCAGACGGCATCCCAGAGCAGCAAAGCCAGGCAACATTTGACACCACTGACATAACTGCCTGTCCTTTCCAATACGGCTGAATCTGGCGCCTGCATTTCCATCAGCACACACAAGGCAATGGAAGAGGCAAAGGGAGTTTCGTGCCAGGTGGGAGAATCTTCTTACCTGCAATGCTCTGCTTGCCCTGCTCAGAGGTGGTGCCTGGAGCCCAGCCGTCACAGAGCTTCCCTCTTCCCTCCCCCAGGACCCAAGCATGAGGCTCCCCACTCACTTTTGCGCTCCTCCTTTTGCAGGAACTTCCGCAGCCGGTCAGAGGGGATGGCAAAGGAGATGCCTGATGTCACCTTCATGGTGTTCACCCCAATCACTTCACCGTCCTGCAGGGGAGCAGGCACTGTGCTATCCCACTGCATCCTCATGGAGAGGGCAACCGCTGTGCAAGCTGGAGTGCTGCATGTGTGCCCACCCCCTCCCTGCCTCCTGCTTCTGCAGCCTGCCTGGCCCTGCCAAGCTGAGCAGGGACCAGTCCTGCAGCTGCAGCCAGCACAGCCCTTCCCTGAGCCCTGCCAGCAACAACCAAGCCGCATGCACCAGGCAGGGCTCAGCTGTGCCACGAAGTCCCATGGACTCAGGCTCCCTCAAACAGGCACTGCACAGGGCTGAGCCCCGGCTCCCCCTCTCAAGGAGCCTGATGCATGCACAGTCCCCCCCCTCCCAGCAGCTGCAGCACCCACACATGCACCCACCAAGGCAGAGGGCACCCGGCACCACTGCCCCAGCCACGGCTGCCCCAGGAACTTACCAAGTTGACGAGGGGGCCCCCGGAGTTCCCAAACTGCAGCAGAGGAGAGAGCAGTAAAGAGGCCATAAAGCAACGTCCTCACACAGCAGGACCCAAGGCAGGGAGGCAGCGTCCAAAGAGCGGGGTCAGGCTGAGGAACGCAGCCAGGGCCTGGGTGACCGGCCAGAATCCCTGCATCTCCCAGTGCTCCCAGCTTCCTCTGACCTCATGGCACCCACAGCCCTTCCCCAGCTCCCCCCTCCCCAAAGAGGGCAGCAGGATGAGGCGCCAACCCGCCGAGCTCCCCTTACATCGATGGCAGCGTCGGTCTGGATGTATTCCATGTCAGAGGCGGCAAGCCCCAGCTCCCGGCTGCCCCGCTGCGCAGAGCTGACAATGCCAGAGGTGATGGTGTTCTGCAGGGCGAAGGGGCTGCCCATGGCCACCACGAACTCTCCCTGCCGCACCTCAGAGGAACGCCCAAGGGGCAGCGTGGGCAGCGGGTGCTGCAAAAGAGGAGGGCGGTGAGCGGGTGGGAGGGACAGAGGGAGCATCTCCAGAAGCAGGATGCGCACCTTCGGTTTGATCTTGATGGTAGCGATGTCTGCGACCTGGTCAACGTCCTGCACCACGGCATCGTACTGCTCCCCGCTGGCCAGCTTCACCCGCACGCGCCGCCGGTTCGCCACCACGTGAGCGTTGGTCACAATGAGCCCGTCCGGAGACACCAGGAAGCCAGAGCCATTGGAGATGGGCACCTCGCGGCCCGAAAAGGGATGCCTGCAAGGTGGGAGCAGCTCAGGGAGGGGTGGCAGGGACCCTGAGGGGACTGGTGGGGACTACAGGGAGGGCACACAGGGGCCAGGCTGGGAGGCAGTGGGGGATAGTGAGGATGTCTGGGCTACAGCGTGACGGGAGCAACTCCTTCATTCCCCATGTGGAGAGTAACAACCAGGCACGTGACTGGGGAGCAAGCAGGAAGAGTGAGAAGTCCACGCACAACTGGAAAGGTGCAATCCCACTGGGAAGCATGGTGGGAAGCTAACAAGAGCAGAGCTCTTGTGGACTCTTTGGGAAAGGGCAGCGGGAGGTAGGTAGGAGGGGTTGTGATCTGCACAAAGAAGTAGCCTGAACACACAGAACCTTGCCCTGAAGCAGGTAACAACCACCTGGGAGGTGATGAATACATGTTCTGTAGGTAGCCAGCGGAAGGCTCAGAACTGCAGATTCTGGTCCCCATGGGAGACAACAATCACCCTGACCTCTGTGGGTGACCCCAGCCTGGCGCTGAGCTTGGTCTCTTCAACCTAAACCCATCTGTGACTATGAAAAGCAAAGTCATGCTCCCGAGAAAGGGATCCTGTGCCACGGGACAGCCTGGAGCCGCTGCCGAGAGGCAGCTTTGCTCACACGGCCCTGCAAGACTCAAGGGCGGCAGCTCAGGGGCACCGCGTCCCTGCAGCAGAGGACACGTGTTGAGGCTGCCTGTGCAGGCAGCGGGCAGAGGGGACGGAGAGGTCCCTCCCGGGTCACTTGTGGGATCCCACCCGCGCCATGCCCGGTTCCGGATGCCCGGGATACCAGGCAGGGCGGCCGCGGGCGGGGCTGGGGTAGGGGCTGCTCCGTGCGGGGAGCCGGGAGCGGGGCTGTGCCGGCGGGGCACGGGGAAGACGGGCCGGAGCCTCCCCGAAGGGGCAGGACCGGGACAGGATCAAGAGGGACCCCCCGCGGGGACCGGGCTGCGCGGGGACGGGCCGGTACCTGCCCATGATCTCCACATAGACCAGCGCGGGCGCCGTCTTCTCCACCACGTCAGCGATGAAGTTGAAGGCGGCGCGGGGCGAGGCGGGCGGAGGCGCGGGCACGGCGGCGCGCAGCGCGGGCAGAGCGGACCGGTGCCCCTCGCCCTGCCGGGCCCACAGCAGCAGCAGCGCCGCCGTCCCGGCACCCAGCGCCGCCGCCAGCGCCCGGCCCCCGGCGGAGGAGTTGGGGGGCGGAGGTGAGGGGGAGGGAGGCGGAGGTGAGGGGGAAGGAGGCGGCGGGAGCGGGGGGACGGCGGCGGCCCCACACAGCGCCCGGTACCACCGCTCCGCCCCCGGCCGCAGCGCGGCCCGCGCCCACCGCGCCAGCGCCGCCATGCTGCTGCGGGGCTCACGTGCCGCCCTGCCGCAGGGCACGCCGGGACGTGTAGTCCCGAGGCGGAAGGATGACGGACGCGGTGGCGGCGCCGCGGGGCACGCTGGCAGCTGTAGTCACGCAGCGCCAGGAGCCGTTGGTGGCGGAAGGCAGAGAGCAGCTCAGCAGGGTTAATGGGCTCACCGGGTCCACCGGCTGCTCCCCCCCCGCGCCGAAGGGGCTCGGTGACAGCGAGAGGCACCGGGGTGCGGCGCGGTGCACGCCGGGAAGGCGCCGCCGCTCCCAAGCTGCCCCGCGCGGGCAGGCGGGCGGCCGCGGGGGAAGATGGCGGTTGGTGTGGAGCGCCCCTGAGGTACCGGGTGCGGCGGGGATGGAGCCTCCCTCGGCGCCGGGCCCCGAGCGGCTCTTCGACTCGCACCGGTGAGAGCCGCGGCGGCCCCTCGCTGCCTCGCGGGGAGCTCGGCGGGGAGAGGCCCGCGTGGGAAGGCGGCGTGTCCGTGGGGGGGGGCGAGGCCCGCTGCGGAGGGGGTGTCCTAAGGGAGCCCTGTGGGGAGGACCGGGATGTCCCGGGAGGGGCGGGTGGCGCAGCGCGGCCCGGCCCCGCCGCGCTCAGGCCGCTCCGCTGCTCTTTGGCACCGCAGGTTTCCGAGCGATGGGTTCCTGCTCCTGGCCCTGCTGCTCTACGCGCCCGTGGGGCTCTGCCTGCTCGTCCTACGTCTCTTCATCGGCGTGCACGTCTTCCTGGTCAGCTGCGCCCTGCCCGACAGCGTCCTGCGGCGGTGCGTGCGGCTCGGCGGGCGGCGGGGGCTGCTGGAGGGGCGGGGGCTGCCCTCGCCCGGGAGGAGGGGTCCTGAGCCGCGGGGCTTGGCTCGTGCAGAGGTTCACAAGGAGCTTTTGGGTTCTGCTCTCAGACCCATTAAGGCACCTTCTCTGCCAAGACCAGAGCAGGAAGCTGCCTCTTGAGTGCCCAAGGATTGATCGAGAGCACTTGGATCAGTGCGGATCCTGTGGTGGTTGCTGCCCCTGTTCCATGCTGCAGCAGCAGCTCTGCAGGCAGCCTGCAGCCCCTGGTCTTACCCCAGCAGTTCCCATCCCAGATGCCTGTTCCCTCATGCCCCCTTTGAAACAGTGTCCTTTGTCCAGTCACATGGATTCCCAGGTCTCCTCTGTTTGCTGGATGTGCCGCCAGTGATGGCTCAGGCCCCAGGATGTGAGGAAGCTGCTTCCCCCCAGGTTCATCGTGCGGGTGATGTGCTCGGTGCTGGGACTGTGCGTGCAGCAGAGCGACCCCCGGCTGCGTGACGCCGGCGTCAGGGTCTACATCGCCAACCACGTCACGCAGTTCGACCACAACGTCATCAACCTCCTCACCTCCTGCAACACGGTGAGGGGCTGGCGGGAGCCTCCCTGGGGTCCGGAGGGTTCCTTCTTCAGGAGAAGGGCACAGAGAGCCCTGTCAGAACCCAGGTGTTGCCCTGGTCTCCTTCGGTTCTCATTTATCAATCCACAAGCCTGGAGTTCTTTGTGGTTCAGTGTCACGCTCTTGGGCATTGCATAAAAACTGGAGCAGGGTGAGGAGGAGCAGGAAGTGTTAGAATGGGTATTGATTTTATTGAAAGAGACTGGCAGATCGCAGCAGCTGCATCTCTTTTGGGTAGGTGCTCTCAGAAGCAGGGCTGGATGTGAGGCTATTCCCCCAGCACTGGGTTTCCCCCTCACTGGCTGTGAGTGGAGCTGCGTGGTGGGGTGGTGGTGCTGGGGTTCTGCTGGGCTGCTGGTTGTGTAACTCCCTCTGCTCTTGTGAAATCCCCTAAGTGTGGCATTCCTGAGTCAGCTGGCTCTAAACATGCCTGTGAGCGAGTTGGTAGGTCCTATATCCTGAACAGCAGTGGATTTGCTCCTTACCTGGAGAAAAGTAATTCTTCGGAGTAGCGTGTCCTTTGCCAAGTGTGTCAGGAACCTCTAGAGAGAGCACTGGGAAACACGGTTGTTGCCCAGGGCAGGGTGAGTTTGTTTCTCTGGCAGACAAGGTACAGCCTGAACTGTAGATCAGGAATCAAACACCTGAGGACTTGGGGCCGGGCAGTAACGTGCTCTCTGCTCTAGTGCCTTTAGCCAGCAGGCTGCTCCCTTTCCCCAAGAGGGGTCTCTGCTGATAAGCAGGAGCGTTGTTTCCTGTTTTCTGGTGGGAAGTAGCGCCTGGGGGGAGGACATGACAGGACAGGGTTCCTCTGACTCTTGTTTTCCCTTGCAGCCTGCCCTGAACAGTGCCCCTGGTTTCATCTGCTGGTCACGAGGGTTCATGGAGCTAGGAGTGAGCGGGAGCCGAGCAGAGCTGGTGGATTCCTTGAAGGCATATTCATCCCACAGAGGGAACCCCCCACTGCTGCTGTTTCCAGAGGAGGCAGCCACCAACGGGCGGGCTGGGCTGCTCCACTTCAGGTACCGGAGCAGCCGCTGCTGTGACACAGAGTGCTTGGGTTTGGCTTTGGGGTCATTCCCTGTGGAATTCCTCCTTTCCAGCTCCTGGCCGTTCTCAGTGTCGGACGTAGTGCAGCCTGTTGCCCTGCAGGTGCTGAGGCCTTTGGTCACTGTGGTGAGTGGGGGCACAGGGCGGGGGGGCTGTGCAAGCTGGGCTCTGTGATGGTGCCGTTAATCCTGCTTTGAAGCCTGTGGGAGATGCAGCCTGGCCTCGTGTCCTCTTACCCAGGGACTGGCTCCTCAGTGCTAACACTCTTTTCCCAGTGCCTTTCCCAGGAAACTTGCACCAAGTCAATACTCTTGTAGTCACACTGGCAGGTTTGTGAGGTGCTTTAGTGGCTCAGCTGCCTAGCAGTGTGCTATCTGGGTTCTGGGACCGCAGCATCCTTGTGTCACGTCTCCTCTTTGTGAGCTCCCTGCTGTTAAAGTCTCTTGACAGAGTAGCTCCAGTCACCTTGGAGAATGGCTGATGTGCCAAAGGTTGGCCACGCTCTCTGGGTACATTCTTGAACTCCCAAGTGCAGACATGAGCATGATGCAACATCAGCTTCAGAGAAGTGGCAAAGTTCATGCTGCTGATGCTGGTGCTGCTGAACAGGCTGCAGTAAACTGTTCTTAGCTTGCATACAGAGGGAGATCTTGTTGCATTTCTGATTGTGTGTTTTATGAATCTACTTGGTTAAAAGATACATTTTACATTTGTCTGATGTTTAGGTGGTTCTCTATTGTCCATCTGCTTAAGGCAGTAGATGGACTTTGGATAAGGCACAGTGGATGGATTTAGAGGTATTGCAAGGATTTTTCAAGGGAGGCTCTTGACGGGGATTAGTTCTTTGTCAGTGTCATTTAGTGCTTCCACTGGCTGCAGGGGACGGCGCTGAGACCTCTGCTGCTGAGGTTCAGGGTGGGGGATGATGAGGAAGTTGCATCACTGATCCAGGGAGCCACCAGCAGCAGCAGGTGCGTGGCAGGGACCTGTGGTGTGAGTGCTGTGTGGTGCACAACGGTGCTGGGTGTGATGGTGAGAGCTGGGAACATGCTCTGCAGAGCCCTGGCAGCCCTGCAGCCAAGAAAGTGGGGCAGTAGTAGAGGGAGTTCAAGGAGGCCACAAGCATGAGGCAGGATCCAGATAGCAACTCAGCAGGATCAGCTCAGCAAAGGTGGTGCTGTGGGTGGCTGCCTGCACTCCGGAGAAAGGGTGCAGGAGTGGAGGGGTGTTAGCTGTGGGTGACAGCACACAGCAGCAGGCTCTGCACGTGCTCAGGCTAAATGCTGCTTCTGTTCAAGTTCAGTGGTGGGTTAAGATGCAGTTTTCTAACAGTGAGGACCCTACATTTTTGAATGACTAATCAAGAGGAGTGGGAGAGTTCTGGTCTGGACTGCTGATGGGGAACATCTTATCTGTCCTTTGGCTCTGGCTTCTCCAAGGAATTCTGTGAGATGTGATAGGTTGTCTGTGCATCCCTTCCTTCATGAATGCTGGGGAGAACAGCATGCACATGGCTGCAGATGTGTTTGAAGACACTGGTTATAGCTTGGCTCGGATTGCTGCCTCCAGAGGTTGAGCAGGGCTTTCTGCCCTAATTCATCCTGGTGGATTCCTTATGCAATTATAAACCATCAGAAACTTGTGAAGACTGGGCTGGAGATGCAGCACTTTGAATGGCTCAGTCGGTGCCTTGCAGAAAGCTTTCTTAGGTACTTGTGTGACACATTGAGCTGAGCGAAGCACCGAGCTTGGAGTTCAGGAAGAGTTTACCCAGCCTTGGTCACCTGGAGCCTTGGAGGAGGCGTTGTTCTGTGGCACACATGGCCTGGGTTCAGCTGTGACAGCTTCCTTCTTCCTGGTACCTGGTGCAGTGCTGGGCTTGGAGCTCAGGCTGGAACACTGCTGGTAACACACGGGTGGTTTAGTTGTTGCTGGGGATCAGTCAGCCGGTGCTGAGCAATTGGGTTGGGCATCACTTGTGTTTATTCTTACTTTTGCCTTCCTTTCTTAGCTTTATATTCTCTCCCCTTGTTATTTCCCTTAGTAGTAGTGGTAGTTTTGCGTTACACTTTAGTTATTGAGCTGTTCCGAACTCAACCCCTGGGGTTCACATTCCTTCCATCCTCCTCCCATCCTGCCCAGCTGCTGGTGCTGAGCTACTGCCCAGGGTTCAGCCATGACAGGAAGGCAGTGGAGCTTGAGTGTGGCTGTGGTTATTACTGTGAGGATTTGGCTGTAGGTTTCTGAGATCTGTCCATGTGGGAGATGGGACTTCTTTATAAAGTCACCTGCAGTGGTTGTGGTTTCTGGGCTTTCCTCCTTACAGCACCTCTCACCAGGCTGTGGAATAAACCAGGCCTAGGGCCTGTCTTGGACTCATAGAACTGTTTGGCTGGAAAATACCTTTATGCTTAGTCCACCCGTTACCCCAGGACTGCCACGTCCACTGCTGAACCATGTCCTCAAGGGCCTTGTGTACACATCATTTGAATCCCTCCACCACTGCCCTGGGCAGCCTGTTCCAGTGCTGGATGAGCCTTTCAGGAGGGAATGGTTCCTAATCTCCATCTAAATCTCCCTTGGTGCATCTTGAGGCCGTTGCCTCTGGTCCCATCCCTTGTTCCTTGGGAGCAGAGACCCACCAGCATCCCAATGGAGCCCTGCCCAGCTCCTGGTTTGTGGATGCAGCCTCATTGTGCTCTCTTCCCCAGAGTGTGGCGGACTCCTCCTGGATTGCAGAGCTGCTCTGGACCTTCTTTGTCCCCTTCACAGTATATCAAGTAAGGTACTATCCCTCTCTCTTTCATTTGGGGCAGGGCATGGGGTGGACAGAGCTTGTGATAGTGGGAGATTTTCTGGTACTGCTGGTGCGCCCCTCGCTGTGGTTTCAGCATGGCTTTGCTCACTGTTACTTGGTCCATGCCAGGTCCAGTTGCTGGCCCAGCTTCTGAAGCAAAGTGGGCCTGGTTCCTGTATTGAGTTGGGGAAGGAGAGGAGTCTCCCAGGGCTTTTATGTCAAATATGCTGGGTATAATTTTGAAGCTGGCTGCTCCGCTGTAACTCACCCCAGGGTTCCTCAGGTCCCATGGGTGATTCCCTGCAGTCCCTTGTGGATTGCAGAGTGGGTTTGAACACCTCTCTGGGGCCCTGGTGAGCCCAGACAGGCTGAGAGCTTTGGTGTGATAAGGGTTCATAGGCAGCAGAAGGAGTCATATTCAAGAGTCCTGCTGATCTGTTTTCTACTTGCATGTAAGTGGCAGTGGCTCCTCATCTGGGGCCTTTCTGGGAACTTCATTAGGACATACTTGGCATGTTACACTTGAGCGCTAACAGATTCAATGAGCAGCTTTGTTTTCCAAACTGTGCCTTTCCCTAAACTCTGCAGCTTATGTTGAGGTTTCACACTCAGCTTCTGTGGAGGTTTCACACTCACCAGATGGGGAGAGGCTTGGGGCAAGCTGCGGTGGGGCTGCAGGGCTGGTCCCCCCCCACAGCCAGCCCAGTGCTGTTGTCCCCTTTAGGTGGCTGCCGTCCGTCCCCCGGCGCGTGGAGGAGCCGAGCGAGGACTTTGCGCTGCGGGTGCAGGAGGTAGGATGGAGCAGTGCCCACCGGAGAGGGTGGGTGCAGAGCTGCAAGGGGTGTTCCTGGGTGGGTCCATTTGGGTGATGGGAGCTCTGGCCCCAGTTTATTGCCCCTTCCAATGACATGGTTTTTCCATGGTCTGTTCACTGCCCCCTTCCTTCCTGTCTGTTCCCAAGGCTCTGCCCATCGAGTTCAGACCTTTCGCTCCCTTTCCATAATCCCACAAGTCAAACAAAGCAGTTGGTTCTCCACCTTTCCCTTATGTGCTGGGTGCCTCATAGCTCCTGTACCAAGGATCTTGTATCTCCCTGTCAGCCTATTTTGGCAGGATGATATTGACAGCTCCTGGTCCTTTATGCACTCCATGCAGGCTCTGGAGAAATCAGTTCCCAGTCCTCTTGCCCTCGCTGTGGCTCCATTCAGGCCTGTACATGTGCTGCACTCCCCTGCAAGCTGGGAATGCTGGGGTCATATGTGTTGTGTGTCATGTACATGTGCCTCTTCTCTGCATCTGTGCAGCTCTTGGCCATGGAGCTGGGTGTGGTATCCACACGGCTCACTGCAGCAGACAGAACCGAGCACATGAAGAGGCTGAGACACACATCGCTGCTCCCCTTTGCCCCAGGTGGGTGTCCTGGGTCATGTCCTCACCAGGGAACTGCCACTTGGGCTCTGCCATCGGAGAGGCCTCAGGCTGCTCTTGGCTGCTCGTGCATGGAGAGAGAGGAGGAGGCGTGTTTGGGAGCAGGGGCTATGGGTGTTCTCTGGGCTGAAGTTAGAGTTGGCTGCCAGGGCGAGCACTGCCACTCCTGCACGCAGACGTGGTGGTTGTGTGCAGGACGTCCAGCTTGCTTACTGTGGCAGCTTGTACTAGAGCAAGTGGAGCTGTAGCAGCTCAGAGGCCATGCTGTTGTTGCAGCCTCGAGCCAGGCGCTGGCAGCGCGGCGCCGGGTGCCGTCCGGCCTGGCTGGAGCTCCTGAGGATGGACGCATCGCGGCGATGGCGCAGCAGGTCAAGGAGGTGCTGCCTCACGTGCCTCTGGAGGTCATCAGGATAGACCTGGGTAAGCCGTGCCTGCTATTAGGAGGGACACAGCATCACCTTCCACACTGTCTCTGTGATACCTGAGAGCAGAAACCTTGTCCCTGCCGTGCTGTAGAGCACAAAGGCAGCAAGGGTGTGAGTGTCCCAGTATGGCAGCTCCCTCTAACAGATCTTCCTTGTTCCTACAGCCCAAACCAACTGTGTGGACACCACCATTGCCAACTTGCTGGAGGGGAGAATATCCTTCTTCCCTGACAGTAAGGAGGCTGGTACTGACCTGCCCGCCCCAGCTACCTCCCAGGCTCCAGCTGCTTCTGGCATCCAGGGCTCTGCAGCTGAGCCTTCTTCCAAGGTACTTTCGGTGGTTGCATTGTCTCTTCTGGTGTGATGGCTCATAGCCAGAGCATGATGGTCTGTGTCCTGCACTAGCCATGGGCTCAGGGGATGGAGCGTTTTAAAGTGAAGGCTGACCTGGCACTGCAGAGCCACTGGGGAGCTCTGGGATCTGGATGTGTCCTGATGGCTCCTGTGCTTTGTGTTCCAGGCAGCTGCAAAGCAGTTTGCCAAGTCCCCTGTGGAGCGGCACCTGTCCCTGCAGGAGCGAAAGCGAGCGCTTTATGACTACGCCAGGAGGTAAGAGCCCCGCTCCGGCCCTGGCAGAGCCCCCACACCCCCCAGCAGCACCCGGGTACCTCCAGGCAAGGGCCAGCCTTGTGTCCTCCCATGCTCTGGCCCAGGGACAGGGGCTGGGCAGAGCTTTGTCTGCATCCCCTTGTCATTCCTGGGAATTGTTCCTGGGCTTCTGTGTTTGGGGACTAGGTGTGATTGAAGCTGTTTGCCAGAAGCTGCTGAGGAGCAGGCATAGCAAAAACCCTCAGTTGTTCTTTGGTGCAAGGGACTTGACTGATAGAAGCCATTGTGGGCCTGCAGTGAGAACTGATGCTGTGGGCACTCATTTCAGACAGGAGTTGGCTGTTTGGCAGGAGGGGGAGGGTGCAGTTCAGGTGCCTCAGTGTCTGTGGAGAAGTGCAGGGACCAGGGAGCGAGTCTGACACCTGTGTGGGGTTTTAATGAGGAAGATCCTGGAACCAGTGTCCAGTTCTGGTGCTGGGTCTGGTGTAGAGGAGATGCAGGAGTTTCAGGCACTTTGCCTGGGTCCCCTGTAGAGCAGCACCTGTCCCTGCAGGAGCAGAAGTGAGCGCTCTATGACTGCAGAGTGCACAGAGCTTGGTAGGGTCTGTGGGAAGGGGAGAACCACTCTGGTGCTCCAGGAGAGCCAGAAGAAGGTTGCAGAGGCTCAGGGATCCCATAGACCTCTGAGATCAGCTTCTCTCTGCTGCTGAGAGAAGGAAATTCCCATGTCTGGAAGCTGAAGTGAGGCAAATCTTCAGTGCCCATTTCTAGAGGGCTGGTCCCAGGTGGCTCTGGGTAGCTCCTGGTCACCAGGGATTTGGTTCCAACAGCTGTTTTTCTGAAAGATGATAGCAGTTCAGAGGATTTCCATCTCAGAATAGTCCTGTGCCACAGACAGTGGTAGACTGAACTGAGAGTTGTACCCCAGGCCTTATGGGAGCATGGAGACGTTGAGGGCTGGATCCACTGGTCACGATCTTTTCAGCAGCAAACAAGAGAGGGTGGGAGTCCTTTCCTGTGGATACCCAACCTGACTTCTTGCTGCTCTGCATGATCCTTTCCTGAGGCTCTTCTGCCTGCTGGCTATGGAATAGTGATCCCTGCTCCTGAGAGAGGAAGGGGTTTGGGAAGGCACTTGGGCTCCTCCATGTCTGTACTCCAAAGGGCCCGATGTGCTGTCCCAGCCTCTGAGCAGGTGTGTGTGTGTGTCTGGAGTTCCTGATGAAAGCGGCCCCCCGTCACTCGGTGGTTCAGGCTCAGCTCAGGGCTCCCGAGTGCTGCTCTTCCCCGGCCGCTCCGGCATTCCCAGCGCCCGGCAGTTGTTCCCGGCAGGGCTGTGCTTTGTTCGTGCTCTGCAAAAGCTCGGGGTTGGGCGCAGGAGGGGGTGTCCCGCAGTGTCACTGCTCCTTCCGCTCTGCCTGTCCTGGCTCCAGCCAGAGCATTCTGCATGCCTCTGTCCAGTGACCTCTCTGCTTGTCCCCGGTGGTGCCCTGGTTCTGCCGCCGGCCGGGGTGGCCACGGTTTCCTGGGCTCTGGGCGAGCTTCAGACAGGCACGGCCCGGTTTGGGGAGCCCCGGGTGTGGGGAGGGCCCGGGCCGGCCTTGGCCCCGGTTGGGGGGTGCTGCCCTGCGGGCTCGCCCTCCGCGGGCGGTGCCGCTGACGCCGGTGTCTCCCGCAGGCGGTTCGCGGAGCGGAGCGGCGCGGCGCGGCTCGGCGGGCCCTGACCGGCCCTGCGCGGCTCGGCGCGCCCCCTGGCGGCGGCGGCAATAAACGGCGGCAGCGTCTGGCGCGGCTCGGCTCTGCGGGCGCGGGGGGGCGGGCCCACCGGGCAGGGGGCGGGGTTACCGGGCAGGGGGCGGGGCCAGCCCGGCTCCGTGCGGGCCCGCACGCGCCGCGGCCGCCGCCCGCTCGCTCGCCGCACGTAGGCGCCGCTTAAAGGGGCAACGCGGCGGGTCCCGGCGAGCTGCGGCCGCGGGGCGGTGCTGCCGCCGAGCCCTGTGGGGACCCGACCTCCACCGGCGCTGCCGCCCCGGTGCCGACCCCGCGGGCCCCAGCGCACGGAGCCGGTGCCCTTTTAAGACGGGAGCTGCCGGTGCCGGTGGTTTTATTTACATGGGGGCTCGGGGGCGTCACGTGACGGGCAGAGCCGCGGCGGCCGAGCGCGGCGGGGCCATGGCGTGCACCGGCGATGACGGTCGGTGTGGGCACCGGGCAGGGGGCGGGAGCCGGGGGATGCCGGGTGTACTGGGTCAGGCAGGGTCCCGGGCACGCACCGGAGGGAAGGGTGAATGCGGACCCTGGGGGGGTCTCGTCCGGACCTGGGGGATCTGGGTCAATGGGAGTCCGGGGGTCCTGGGTGGGCCGGCGTGCACATGGGGGGATTTAGGTTAAAGGGGGTCCCGGGAGGGCTGACGTGCACCGGGGTCCGGGTCGATGAGGAGCCTGGGGCTCACGGGCAGGCTGGTGTGTGGTGGGTGGGCTGGCTCCGTGGGAGTCCCGGGACGGTGATGTGCACCGGGGAGGGTGGCCGGGGTCAGTGGGGATCCCGGGCAGGCGCCTGATGGTCGGGGGCAGGTGGGGCACGGCGAGAGGCAGCCCTGGGCAGACGCCAGCACACAGGTCAGAGGCAGGGCTTGGTGCTCCCGTGGCCCCTGGGCAGTGGTGCCTGATGCACAGCGGGGGGTCAGAGTGGGGTGCGGGTGGGCCTGGGGTCGGTGCCGGGCTGACGGCCCCTGCAGGCTCCTGGGTGGAGCTGCGCTGCGGCCCCGGGGGCCCTGAGCCCGAGCCCTTGCGGCTCTCCTCCTGCCATGCCGACGTGGAGCGGATGCTGCTGGAGGCACAGCTGGAGACCGAGAGCGGCGATGGGTGAGTCCCAGGGACCCAGCAGGGGGTGAGCCGGGGGCCTTGGGGTGGCACAGGCCTGGTGACCGGGGGTTGCTTTGCAGTGCCCTGCTCCTGATGGGCTCCCCAGTCTGGGATGAGGATGGAGCGAGTTCGGCCAGCGAGCGGCCTGGGGACAGCGACCTGCGGCCTCCCTGCAGCCAGCCCCAGCCAGGCTGCCTGCACCCCCGGCAGGTGAGGGAGCTACACGGTGCTCTGCGCCCTGTACCATGTCCTGTGCTGTGCTCACTGCGCCCCTGGTCTTACCTGTCCTGTACCTCTTCCTAGTGGGATGTGCCGGATGAAGCTGAGCGGAGGGAACAGCGCCTGCCAGCATCCCTTAACTGGGCCTGTGCCCGCCACCCTCAGCATCTCTCTCCAAAGTAAGGCCATGTCCCCTGCCAGCAAGACCTGCTGTCCCATGTCCTGTGCCCTCTTGCGGTGCTCTGCCCTCCTCCATTCCCCGTTAACTGTGTGCTTTTCCCAGGGAGTTTGCCTTTGTGTGCTCCCCACAGCCAGTGCTGTGGAGCCTGCAGGGAGGAGCAGTGGGGAGAAAGAAGAAACTGTTCAGTTCAGAGCTGCTGCTGCTCTTCATCCCCTCGCTGCTGCTCAGCCACGTGCTGACGCTGGGGCTTGGGTGAGTTTCTGATGGGCCTGACCTGGGCTTGGATGCATTCAGGGGAAGCCCTGCACTGATCTGTGTCTGTAGCCTGGGAGCCCCTGGCTGGCCCAGCCCAGGAGGCTGCCCTCATGGAGCTGGGCTGGGGAAACACTCCTGGATGTAGAATGGTCTTTTTTGGGTGCTGCTCCGAGCATCTCTGCGGGGTCACTTACAGTCTCTCTTTCCAACCCAGGATCTACATTGGGAAGCGACTGGCAGCCTCCTCGGCCAACCCACTGTGAAGAGCTGGGACCAGTGAGGCTCAGTGTGGGGGGAGTCTGGGCATCAGCGCAGCCCAACTGCTCCCAGGCTTCCTGGCTGTGGCACGAAGCACCGTCTCCCCTCGTCCCTTCTTTAGCCCCAGCCCAGGAGCTGATCCTGCTCTCCCATGTAGACAGAAGCGCACTGATGGCAGCTCCCGGGGCAGGCAGCCCCTGCCCCCCCATCCCTTGGTTACGGGTCCATGTTCCTCCTTTTTAACACAGACTGTAAATATGGCTCCTGAGCTGCGCCACAGCGTGCGAGTAAAGAGCACTGAGTCACCGGCAGCACCAGACCCACACAGCCCAGCACCGGGTGAGCAGGCAAGCTCCCCAGGGCGTTGTGGCATTCCTATGGGCTCAGGCTGCAGGAGCTCCCTGCCTGTTGGGTTGCTGGGGGATGCCTGGCTGTGAAAGGGCCCCTGCTTGGCCTGTATGCATGCAGGGATGACTGCTGGGCTCATAGACAGTTTTCAGCCCTGCTATAGCATGTATGGCTGGTGCATTAGGGCTTTATTAGCCATGACTGAGGCAGCGGGGAGCCCAGTGCTGATGGCCAGGGACTGCAAAGCCAGATGTGGCAGGAGAGCTGGTGCTGCAAATCCAGATGTGGCAGGAGAGCTGGTACTGCCCAGGCTGCACACAGACCTGGCTGGGCCAGAGAGTTGGTTCTGGTGCTGTGGCATGGGGTGTGAAGATGAGAGACAAAGGACAGGAGCTGCCCCTGGTGTTGTGAGTGGGAGGAAAGAGCTGGCCCCATGCTGGCAGGGGGCTGGTTGTCCTGTGCGTGCCATGGTCCCCAGGCAGTTGAGGGTGGAGGAAGATCCTTTCCAGTGTAGCGTGGTGCTGAGGGGCTGCGTGTCTCAGAGCTCAGCTGGGACATGGTGGGTGTGCGGCCACTTGGGCTCAGCAGGAACCTGGCCTGGGGCCTCTGGAGCACTGGGGTGGGGAAAAGTCTGGGGACAGGGAGGCCCCAGCCCTGGGGACACCTGAAGGTGTCAGGAGCCAGCCCTGGCAGGACACAAGGTGGCTGTGGCACGCAGGGAGCTCCTGGGCTCTGCAGGGTGCAAGTGGGGGTCCAGCGGGCAGGGATGGAACAGGGCCGTTGGCACAGCGGGAGCGGGATCACGGCGAGGTTTTCCATCCCTGGCAGATGGGGCTGCTGCGGGTTCGGGCTCGGGCTCAGAGCTGTGAGAGGCGCTTGAACCTGGGGGACGGCAGCGGCGGCGACTTCGGGCCTTTGTTTCCGTCCGCCGGGGTTGATGGGGTCACCTGCCAGCGGGAGGCGCCGTTACCGGGCGCTGGGGCCGTTACCGGGGGCGGGCCGGGCCGGACCGGGGTGTACCTTCCCTCCGGCGGCGTCGCTGAGCTCCAGGAAGGTCTCGTACACGGCGGAGCTGATCCTGCGCGGCAGCGGCGGGGCTCTGCTGGCGCTCTTCACGCGGCCCCCGAAGCCGGTGGGTGACGGGGACGGCCCTGCGGGGGGGGGGTGTCATCCAGCGGGGAGCCTGCGGGGCCCGTGGGGGTGCCGGGGGCTGCTGGGGCCAGCTCGCTCCTGTCCGCGGGGCTGCAGCGCGATGGGGCGAGAGCCCAGCCGGGAGAGGGGAGCTGTGGAGCTCAGCTCAGCACCCAGACCCATCGGCACCGGGACTGCGATCAGCAGCGAGTGCTCCACGGGGATCATTGCGTGGGAGGCACTGGAGCCGCATGGGATCTGCCCGTGCTCTTGGTACCCCCGGTGCTCCCGGCTTGCAGCGTCCTGTGGGGCGCTGAGGGTGCGGGGGGGGGGGGCTCGTGCCCGCCCTGCTAGGGCTGGGGCACAGCCCTGAGCCTGGCTATGGGGCTGGGGCTGTACCTGTGGGGCTCAGCTGGGCACCGGCGCGGCTTGGCCCCGGCTGCTTCCCGGCGGAGCTGCTCTCGCTCACGTGGGAGAGTCTCCGCTTCTCGTCCTGGGTGCAGAGGGAGGTTCAGCACCACGGGGGGGGCATCGCAGGAGCCTCTGGTGGGGCTGGGGAGCGCCAGCACCCTGCCTGCAGCCCCGAGCTCCTGCTCTGTGCCCCCCCTCCGCTGCTCCTGCCACCGGCACCTCGAGTCCCACCCGTGCTGGGGTCCCTGGTGCTGCAGGAGGCCTGGGGAGCATGAGCGGACGCCGGGAGGAGAGGAGGCGCTGGGGCCGGGCTGAGCCTCACCTTGGGCTCCGGCAGCTCCGAGATGGACTGGCACAGGTCCTGCCGCCGGTGCCCAAAGAAGGTGCTGGAGCGGTTTTCCCTGCACTCGGTCCTGCGCTCCTCACTCTCGGTGGGTTTTGGGACTGGGGGCGTCTCCGTGCTGGGGAGCATTGGGGCTGGTGAGGGGCGGGCAGGCAGCAGGGGACGGGGAGCAGGGCTATGGCATGGGCCAGCCAGACCCAGCACCATCTCCACTGTGGGTGCTTGGCAGGGACAAGCCAGCAGGACCAGCTCAGGTACCATGGGAGCCTGGGGGCTGCATACGGGGTGTCTCTGCTCCGTGCCACCCACGTGGGGGACCCCCGGGATGTGCCTGGTGCAGGGCACTGGTCTGGGCTGAGGTGCTGAGGACAGCTCAGTGGCAGCAGGGAGGGGTGAGGGCGCGGGGGAGCTCGGGGCCGTGCTCCCACCACGGCACTTGCCTGTCTCCACAGTGGTTCAGCCGGTTCCAGTCGGGGACCCAGGCCATGGACCGGGGGCGTCCGGGGCGCTGGTCCTCGAACCAGACCTGAGAGCACAGGGAGCAGGGAGGGAGGAGATTGCGGAGCCCCCAGCGCCTGCCCTGGCTCTGCCTGGGCTTGTGCCACCCCACGGCAGTGCTGTCGTCCCCCCAGGGTCCCCCATGCACAGAGGCCCTCACCCTGCTGCAGCTCCAGCCCCACGGGTCGGTCCCTGCTGCCCCAAACCTGACCTGGCCTGCGCGGTGTCACCCGCGGGTGCTGTGCTCAGCACTCACCATCTCCCGCAGCCCGTACTGGCTCTCCACCTTGGCCCGCAGCTGCCCGAAGCACTGCTCCATGCGCTCGTGGAACGGCCGCAGGTCCTCTGTCACCTTCTGCCCGTGGAGCCGGATCCCCTCCGCCAGCAGCGGCACCTGCAGGAGGACAGGGACAGGGCCACCGGGACTGCGGAGCCCCCGGGCTGGGGCACTGGGGCTGGTGGGTGCTGAGGTCCGTACCTGCCAGGCGATCAGGTCCTTCAGCTTCTCGATGTTCTCCTCGTCCTCGGGGTGCTCCCGCAGGTAGGACTCCTGGAAAAAGGCCTGCAAGGAGCTGGCTCAGCGCTGCCGAGGGGCCGGCTCATCCGCACGCAGGCAGGGGACAGCACAGCTACCGTGTCCTCACCATCTCGTACTTGGCGAAGCCCCCCATGACAGCAGGGTCCACAATGCCGCTGAGCAGCATGGAGAGAGGGTTGATGGGCAAGCTGGGGTCCTGCTGGTGCCGGTTGATCTCGCTCATGATCTTCTCATTGGTTTTCATCATGGTCTCGATGGCGTTTTCCAGGGGGGAGATGATGGTCTGTGCCCGGGGAGGGGAGGTCACAGCCGCTGGCCCCGTGACCTGCCCAGCCTGGGCAGGGTGGCAGCGAGGGCCCTCCCCAGCGCCGGGGCTGCTCCTCTCATGCCACAACACCCCTTGGCCCCTGGCACCAGCTCCTGCCCCTGAGCCAAGGCTTCAGGAGGAGGCACTGGAAGTGCTGGTCCCGGCACGGAGCAGAGGCTGCAGCAGGGCCGGTCCTGCAGGCCAGGATTGGACGTGGCAGCTCTCACGCAGCCCCTGTGCTCGGCACAGCACTGACGGCCCAGTCAGGGCATTCCCGTGTCCTCCCACAGCACCTGAGCCACTGGGCTCTGGCACCTCCCTCTGCGAGAGGTGTGAAACCCACACGTGGTGCTGCTGGAACCCCGCCAGTGCCGCTGCTGCTCCCACACGTGGCCTCCTGCGCCCCACGGAAGAGATGGGCACCCAGTGGGTGAGCGCCCAGACCAGGGCCTGTCACTGGGTCCGTGCCACCAGCACCAGTCGGGGGGTGCCAGGGAGTCTCCTTGCCCACGATCAGCAGCAGCCCTGGGTACGTGCCCTGGGACACGGCTCCCTGCAGCACCGGCCCAAGCCCAGCCCTGGGGCAGGGGGTCAAGGCGATGCCAAAGGGGGTCATGCCCAGTGCCTGGCAGTGGTGGCAGCCGGGCTCTTTGCTCAAAGCACCACAGGGCCACAGGAGCGAGCTGGGGATTTGAGTGCTGGGGGGCTGGATCTGGTTTGCACTGAGAGCAGGGGCTGCTGGGGCAGGGGCTGCTGGGGCAGGGGCAGGACCTGCTCCTGCACCCGGATTTGAGCAGCTTGAGCTTGGGGATCCCAGAAGGGGAAGCGGGGGGCAGCACCCCTGCCTGGGTCCACGTGCTGCTGTCTGGGGGAGGGATGCCCCCGGAGGTTCCTGCTGCCCCCAAACCCCCTCACCGTGGTGGTGGAGGTCACCGCGAACCAGCGGAGGATGCCAGGCAGGGGATAGGCTGTCAGGAAGGTTGTCCGCTCGATCCACATGTTCTGTGGGAAGCGAGGGGGTCAGCCCAGCACCCTGGGACACCCCATGGGGCAGGGGACTCCCTCCTCCCCATCCCATGGGCATAGAACCACCACCTCCCCATCCCAGGTCTGGGAGCCCCCCTGTCTTGCTTGAAAGCCCCCCTTCTGTGGACACTCAGCTCCTCACAGGCCCCCTGCACTCACTGCAAATTCATTGTCTGGGTCCTTTGGGCCTTTCTTGAAGGGTCGCGAGTAGCTGAACCTCTGGACATGGTTGGCTCTGTAGAAACTGGAGGACAGGAAGGGCAGAGGGTGGGAAAGGTCCCTGTTTGCCCCTTTCCATGCGGAGCAGGGCAGCAGCAGCCTCTCCATGCCAGGACACTCACTTGGTGATCTGCTCCGGGATGCTCCGGTCCTTGAACCGGCCCCTGGCTTCCTCTGCCGGCTGCACGGTGAAACACTGGATGTCTGCGGGAGTGAAGGAGCCACCAGCACCACTGCAGGGACACGGTGTGGGGGACTCATGTGGGGAAAATGGCCCAGGAACCAGCCCTCCTGTCCGGCCCATGCTTGGAGGGTCTCTGCCTGCCCATCCCTGTCAGAGGATCCCTCCCTGCCCACCCCTGCTCATAGGATCCCTCCCTGCCCATCCCTGCTCAGAGGATCCCTCCCTGCCCATCCCTGCTCAGAGGATCCCTCCCTGCCCACCCCTGCTCATAGGATACACTGTCCTGGGGAGCCAGTGATGTCCTGCCCAGGGGGACTCGTGCTCTTGAGCCTCTCAGCGCTGGGGAAGGGGCTCAGCAGCTGCAGCTCGAAGTCCTCCCGGCGCTCATACTCCTTGCCCCGATAGATGAAGACCTTGTTCTGCAGAGAGGAGGAGACAACTTGTCCCTCCTGAGAGAAACATTGCCCAAGGCCAGCAGCTGAGGGAAAAGGGAATTGAGGCATGTGGAGGTGATGGGTGAAGCCAACACAGCTTCACTAAGGACAAAGTGTGCCTGATAAATCTGCCCTTCTGTGCCAGGGTTACGGTGTTGGGGGATAAGGGAAGAGCCGCTGACACCACCATCCTGGCCTTGCACAAGACATGTGGCACTGTCCTGCACAGGACCCCTGTCTCTAAGCTGGAGAAACATGGATTTGACAGATGGACCACTCAGTAGATAAGGAATTGGCTGGATGGACTCATTCTAAGAGTGGAGCTGTTGGAATGAATCCAGAGAAGGCCACCGGGATGGTCTCCAGAGGGGCTACAGGGAACCTGGAGAGGGGCTTTGGACAAGGGCCTGCAGGGACAGGCCAAGGGGAATGGCTTTAACCTGCCAGAGGAGAGATGGAGATGAGCGCATGAGAAGGGGCAGGGCCAGGACCCCAGCTCCTGTGGCCATGGCACCAGGATGCTCACCCGCAGGAACGGGGGGAAGCCCTGCCCGTAGTAGCCCACGGCAAAGTAATCCGGGCTGGGCCGCAGCACCTTCAGGATCTTCTCATAGAAGCGGGCTTCCTGCTGCTGCAGGAGAGGGGTGGGAATGGGGATGGGATGGGCGCTGCGGCCCCCCCGCTCCCCCTGCTCTCGGCAGGTGTCACTCACCAGGATGTCACTCAGCAGCTCGTAGTCAAAGACCTCGCTCTCGTACTGCTCCGCCAGCTCCTTGCAGATGTGGATGGCCTCTTCCCACATCTGTAGGAGATGGAGCTGGGGGTGAGCCAGGGCAGGGAGGCACTGGGGCTTCCAGAAGGGACCGGCCCCATCTGCAGCGAGGACGGGGGGGGGGGGGGCTGGTGGACCAGCTGGGTGCTGGTGGCTGCAGCAGGACTTGGCTTCCCACCATCTCCAGCCCCTGAGCCCCCCAGCATGAGCAATTCCTCTCCTGGGGTGTCCCAGCTGCTGGCCCCAGGCAGTATGAGGGCTGGGGGCTGAGAGTGGGATGGGATGGGATGGAATGAGATGGGATTGGATGGGATGGGACAGGATGGGATATGATGGGATGAGATAGGATGGAAGAGAATGGGGTGGGACGGGACAGGACAGGATGGGGTGGGATAGGATGGGCTGGGGTGGGACAGGGTGGAAAGGGACAGTATGGTGTGGGATGGGTGCACAGGGGGAAGCACAGCCTCAGCAGCTGGGTGGCTGTGGGTGAACCACCCACCCCGGCCTCCCTGCAGGGCAGCTCCAGCCCCACCACCGCGGTGGGGAGCGAGGTTGGGCCGGGATGGGGCTGGAGGCTGGGAGCGGGGGACAGCGGGAGGAGGCAGCCGCGGCACGGCCGCGCTCACCTTGCCCTGGTCGAAGTAGCGGATGATCTGGTTGTAAAGCGCCTCCTTGAGCTGGCGCTGGGTGCGCAGCGCGGGCCCGTGCGCGCCCTGCACCGGCGCCGTGCTCGCCTCGTCCGACCACTGCCCGGGACAGCGGAGCCCGTCACGGCGAGCCCCGGCCGCCCCGCGGCCCCGCGGCCCCGGTGCCCACCTTGAGCAGCCGCGCGTGCAGCAGCAGCGTGTAGGCGCCCTCCGTGTAGTTCTCGTAGCTGACGTGCAGGTCCCGCAGCTTGTACAGGTACCTGCGAGCGGGCCGCGGGTGGGCTCCGAGCCCGGAGCCCCGCACCTTCCCCGCGGCAGCTCCGCCGTCCCCCCCCGTGTCCCGGGGCCGAGCAGGGGCAGCGCCGGGACCTCCGCCGGCCGCGCTCACCTGATGTACATGGCCTGGCGGCCGATCTCCTTGTAGAAGTTCTGGGAAGAGCACACGAGGCCATTTGAGCGGCCCCGGGAGGGGCCGGTGCCACCGCTCCCCCCCCCCCGCCATGTGCCACCGCTCCCCATCGGCTCGGACCCGGGAGGTGCCTCCCAGCAGGTACCTCCCGGGTTTGGCACCGGGCACACCGCATCCCTGCTGTGCCAGGGGACGGGGGGGGGCATGGGGCTGAGCCCCGGGGCGGAGGCACGGAGCAGGTGCCCACCAGCAGGTTAACAGTGCAGCTCATGCTGTAGGTTTTGTTCTCGTCGTTCCTCACGGCCCGGTAGTCGAGGAGCCGCTCCAGGAGCCCCGTCACCAGCGCCACGAAGCTCTGCCCGGGCTCGGCCAGTTCGGGGTGCGCCTGGCAGCAGCTCAGCAGGCTGGGGAGGGCAGGGGGTGACAGGGGCACTGTGCTCAGTCCCAGCCCCGCTCCTTGTGCTGGGGGGGGGGGGGAGAGGGGGCAGGAGGGGCAGCAGGAACAGAGAGCAAAGTGTGCTCATAGGGAGAGAGCTGAGAGATTCATCTGCCTGGCACAGGGATCTGTGATGGGCATCACGGGGCAGGAGCAAGGCCTGGGTAGGGCAGGAACATTGCTGGGGCAGGGGCATTGCTGGGGCAGCAGTGGTGTGCAAAGGGCACACGATGATGCCGGGGCAGGAGTTTTCCTCCCCTCAAGTCCTGCCCCAGCTCAGAGCACAGTGAGGAGCAGGCTGGCTGAGACAGTGTGGGGCAGGAGGACAGCACAGGCTCAGGGGGGCACACTCACATGCTCTCAAAGAGCTGCTTGTACTGCTCATCCCCGCGGCCGCCCTCCACCTCAGTGTCCAACTGCCGCAGGATCTCATCCTCAAACTGCAGAGATGTACGTGAGCAGTGCTGGGAGCTGGGATGGGCAGGGCTGGGGCCATGGAGCTGCAGCACTGGGGCAGGAGGCTCCCAACAGCTTCAGGCTCAGCCGCTGCAGCCCCTTCCCCAAGGACCCCCCTGCACTGAGTGGTCCCTGTTCCCCTGCCCTGTGAGGAGCAGGGTCCAGCACCAGGCACCCACCCGGGCAAAGCTGCGGGTGAGCTGGTACTCGCAGAGCATCATGTCAAAGAAGATGGGGATGGTGGCCTTGCGCAGCTCTGGCTCCGGCACCAGCGTCATCTCCAGGATGGGGCCCACCATGCCCGGGATGAACTCAATCTTGCGGGGGCCTGGGATTGGGAATGGGAAGGCCATGCTGCAGGCAGACACCAACCCAGATTGGGGAGGCTGCCTGCAGGGAGTGAGGGCTCGCGGCTGATCACAGTGCTGGGGGCTCACGCACCACAGCTTTGCCTGGTTGCAGATGGCACATCCCACAGGCTCACCCATCCCACCCATCCCATCCCAGAGCATCCCCTGGCTCACAAATCTCACCCAGCCCATCCCAGAGCATCCCCTGGCTCACACATCCCACCCAGCCCATCCCAGAGCATCCCCTGGCTCACACATCCCACCCAGCCCATCCCAGAGCATCCCCTGGCTCACAAATCCCACCCAGCCTATCCCAGAGCATCCCCCGGCTCATGCATCCCACCCTGCACAGCCCAGAGCATCCTCCAGGCTCACGCCTGCCAAGCCTCATCCCTGCCGGCTTGCACACCCTGCTCATGCCTGCAGCCCCCGATGCCACCCTCCAGCACCATTCCAGGGGCCATGCTGGTGACCACCAGACACCAGACCCTTGCCAAGCCCCCATGGCTATGCCACGCTCACCGAGGTTGTACCACATGTCCCGAATGGACGCTCCAATGGTGGCTCTCATGTCCCCGTACCTGCCAGGACAGCTTTGGTCAGCACCCCGAGCAGGATGTGATCCAAGTACAGCCCAACCGGCTCACCCCAAACCCCAGCCCCACAGCATGGCAGCCGCCTGAAGTGGAGCTGCAGAGCCCAGCCCCACGGTGCTGCGGCAGGGCAGGGGCAGCCAGAGGAGCTGAGGGCAACTCACTTGGCCAGGATGCTGCTGCGCTTGGCCTGGGAGAAGTTCTCGAGCTGCAGCGAGTCTTGGGTCAGGAAAGCCACGGCCAAGTGGAAGTAATTGTTCCAAAGCTGCAGCGGGGACAGGGCAGAGCTGGCACAAGGGGTGGGGGCAGAGCTGGGGACACACAGGGTCCCCTCGCCCTGGGCTGGAGCAGCGCCCTCACCTGTAGCTCGAAGCTGTTCTCGCTCAGGAACATCTCGGTCAAGGTGGAGGCAAACTGGTTGATGGTGCGCAGGAACTCCCTGTGGGTGCTGGGGTCAGTGGCTCTGCCTGTCCCAGTGCCACAGGCAGGGCCTGATGCTGCCGCTGCACCGGTCCTGCCCAGTGGCATCCCCACTGATGCCATGAGGTGTCCAGCAACAGCTCCCCACTCCCCAGGAGCCCCAAAGCCCACCGATAGGGATGCAATGGGGCTGCACTGTCCCAGGGCAGAGCAGGAGGCATTTGGAGCCAGAGTGCTGAAGGTGTTTGGAGGGGGCTGAGTGAGCTTTAGGCTCCGTGCTCCAGTGTCTGGGTACCCTGTGCCCCAGAGACACCCCAGGTCCAACATCCCCCCATGGGTCAGGGGTCCACACCGATTCTGCACCATGCTCATCACCATCCAGTCGCACGGGTACACTGCCTTGCCAATCAGGTCCTTGAAGAGGATGAAGGTCTCCATGAGGAAATCCTGGTGGGAAGGAGATGTCAAGAGCTGGGCTCGACCACGATACCCTCCCAGGTGATGCTGTGCTGGATGCTGGGGCTGGAGCAGCCTCACCACCCACCAGCTTCACCTCCATGGAGCAGGGATGAGCACCCAGGGGTGGGTGGCACCAGTGCTGGGTGCCCAGGTACAGGCACTGGGACCAGTGGGACAGCCCAGCCAAGACATAGGGTGGAGAGGCAGGGGGTTGCCGGTGATGGAGGGCCCGGGTCACTGCATGGGGCAGCACTCACCATCAGCTCGGCCCGGGAGGGGAATGCCTTGATGTAAGATCTGTAATGTTCCATGTCCATCTGGCTCAGGATGGCAGCCATGCAGGCCACATAGTGACTCTGTGGGACAGGAGCTGGTCAGACACTGCTGGGGTCCCATCGGTGTGCTGGGGTGGGGTTCCCTCTGGTCAGACACTGCTGGGGTCCCATCGGTGTGCTGGGGTGGGGTTCCCTCTGGTCAGACACTGCTGGGGTCCCATCGGTGTGCTGGGGATGGGGTTCCCTCTCTGCCACTGAAGGGGTGTACTGGGGATGGGATCCGATGGTTGGCACCATGGGGTGCACTAGGGGGGGTCCGAATGCCTGCCCATACTCCTCCAGCCGGTCTGTACCCCAGACCCCTGGCTGCCCTGGGGGTCCCTCATGGTCCCCCCCTCCCTGGCTTTCCACATCTCTCCTGCCACACTGAGCCCCATCTCCTGCAGCCAGCCATTCCTCTGCCAGCCCCTCGCAGCCTCCAGGGGTGGGACGGTGCCGTGCTGCTGGTGCAGACAGGGTCCCCAGCTGCACCTTGACTGTGGATAGTTTCTAACGTTTAAGCAATTTAAGGCTCTGTGTGGATGGAAGGGCCTTTTGAAACACAAGTAGCTCCATTCCGGAGGCTGATGTGTCTGGAGCCCCCCTGGCAAAGGGTCCCATATTGAGTCATTAACTCCACTCCTGCTCTGGGTGCTCACGGTTCTGTCGGGAGGTGCAGCACCGGCTGAGCAGCATTCCTGAATGCAGGATGAGAGGGCCCATGCCTGACCCCCACGCTGCTCAGCTGCTCTCATGAACCAGAGGCCCAGGTGCTGCTCCCACTGTGGCTCCTCTCCTGTTCATTACAGCAACGTTCTCTTCACGATGCCTCTAACGTGGATGAGTCTGTGATAGGTTTGCTCCTGGGACAAAGCTACAGGGAACTCCTCAGGGCACTGAGCAGCAGCTGAAGCCTGAAAGCCGAGGTCAGAGCCACAGGTCACCGTCGTGTGTGTGTGTGCACAAAGCAGCTCCGAGCCCTCAGGTGGCATTGTAGGAGTCTGAGCATCCCCGGGCATGCAGCAGCACAGCAAAGCTGCCACTGCCAACATCACCGCCCTGCCAGGGCCAGGATGCTGGCATCCCACAGGCAGTGGGGCTGGGTTGGTCCCAGGGAAGGGCAGGGGTGAGCAGGGGAGCACCGTATCACAGCCCTGGACATACGCGGGGAGCTATCTTGTGAGAAGCAAGTGGATAAAAGCCCAACAGGTCCCAGTCCTTGAGCACGAGGGTGGAGGCACAGGCACAGACCTGAGGCTCCCTGCTGAACGCTCTCAGCAGCACCAGCAGCACCTCCATGCAGGGCACCCGCACAGGCACAGCAGGGATCCTGCAGAGGCACCCAAGCCCCAGCAAGTCCAACTTGCCCTCGAAGCTGGAGGTGAATCACTCCCTCCTCCTCAGTCCTGGCCTGCTCCAGGACTCACTCGGGAGTGGGGGATGTCCTCACTGCAAGCTAAACACCGGCAAAGTGCTGCCACAAACCCGCCAATGGTCCCTGAGCATCCATGTGTGTGATGCCACGGAGCCCCGGTCTCGGGAGGACCTCATGGTGGGAGCTGGGGCGGCTTCCTGCTGACAGAGCCAGGCTGTGCAGCCACTGCTGCACCTCACCGAGGTTCTGTGGTCCATTTCCCGTGTACAGGCAGGGGTGCAGCCCCGGGACACCGCTAGGACCACCGGCAGGACCGGCTCCCAGCTGGGGAAGAGGGTCTGTGCTACCCCGGGGGAGGCTCCTCTCCCACCCGGGGCTCCCCAGCTCCGGACTCGACGCAGTGGGGTCCCACCGCCCACGGGCACGCTGCCTGCACCGGTGATGGCGGAGGGAATCGGGGCTCTGCCCCACCGTGTGCCCGGCCCCGAGCACCGCACCGGCCACGGCGCTCGCACCCCCCGGGGCCCGGTCCCTTCCCTGCCCTCAGGTGCGGATGTGCAGCCCCCGCTGCCCGGGGCACGTACAAGGATACCGGTACCGCGTTCCCGGCCACTCCGCCCCGCCCGGGCATCCCGACCCCGCGTCCCGCCGGCCCCGCCCCCGGCCCCGCCTCGCTCCTCCCCGGCGGCTCCGCCCCGGTACCGGCGATCCCGCGCGGCTCCGCCCCGCCCCGCCGTGCCCGGCACCCGCCGCTGCCCGACCAGCGCCGCCGCCGCCGAGCACCAGGTACGGGGCGGGCTGGGACGCGGGGCCCGGGGACTGGGAGCGGCGGAGCGGGGCGGGCCGGGCAGGGCCGGGCTGCGCTCTGCGGGCATCGGCGGGCATCGGCCCTGCGGCCCCGCTCGGTGCGCCGGGAGAGCCGCGGCGGCGGCACCGGGGCCGGGACCGCGACCCCACGCGGTGCGGGAACCGGGGGGGGGGATCCCGGGGCCAGGAACCGCGGATCAGTGCGGGGAGCCCCGACGCCGGAACCCCGCGGCGGTGCGGGCAGCGGCCCGGGGGTGCGCGGTGCCCGGTGCGGCCGGAGATAGGAGCCGGGCGGGGAGCGAGGGGGATGGATCCGCGGTGCCCCGTTTCGCCCCCCTCGCCGGTGCGCGGTGCCCGGCCCCGAGCGGCCTCGGCCGCCCCCTGCAACCGAGGTCGCAGCACTCCCGGGTTCCCCCCTCCTCGGCCCGAGCAGGAGCTGCCCCGGGGCAGTGCGGGGCGCCGGTGGTACCGGACACCCCGTGCCGGGCACCCCTCACCCCGCGGGCCGCCATGGTTGGGGTCCGGGGGGCTGCAGCGTGCTGGTGGCAGCGGCGTGGGGTGCAGCCGAGGGAGGTAAATCTGCGTTGAGATCCGCGTGTCAGAGGGGTGAGGACACCCGGGGTCGCGTCCCTGCGCTGCTGCTCGGCTGTGGCAGCTCCGCTCGCCCGGCAGCTCCATGCAGGAGATGTGGGATCTCGCTCTGCTGGTGCTCGGCTCCCCCTTGTTAGGAGACACGTCCATCAGCCAGGGCTCTGTATGGGTGACACACGCACACGCACGATCCCAGGGATGTCACTTTGGGTACCACACGCTGCGTTGACGCCGGCTGCTCACGCTGGAGGGATTCAGCCCATGTTGCTCCCAGCAGCGCCCAGCACCGTGTTCTGTGGTCAAGGCCTCGGTGGCTGCTGGTGGGGCTTTGGCAGTGGAGCCAGGCACAGCCTTGTTTGCTGACGGTTACACAGGAAGGTGAAGCTCTCGGGGCTGCTCCAGTCCCTCTTGTCCCCATGGGAGCGCATGCAAAACCCGGTTAGAGCTGTGGGGTCTCGTAGAGGAGCCTGGAGAAGGTCTTCATGGAGCTCATCTGTTTGGAGAATGAGCTGGACACGTGTGAGTAACCACCAGGACCCGGCTTTGCAGGGACCTGGCTTTGCAGCGTGTGCCTGCATGGGGACAAGTCTCACGGTGGTCTCCACACCTGGCACCTCCCAGGGGACAAGGGATGCTGGGGACCCCCGGCCGTGTCCTTCCCTGCAGGTGCTGCCCGAGGAGAGGGGCCGCGGAGGTGACCCCCGGGCAGAGCCGGGCTCAGGCTGGCACCCGTCATCCATTGCCGGTGTTTCCTTTCCATGGGAAGCGTTCGGTCCCTGCTGTGCACTCAGAGTGGATTTAACCACAGAAGCTCCTTTAGACTGAGGTTATCTTCTCTATGAATTATAATTATTGTAATTATTTAATGGTATGGTAGCATCCAGAGGCCACAAATAATTAGTGGGTCTGTTCCTGTCTGTAGTAAGGATGCTACTGCCATGCTAAGCAGTGCTCTTGGACAGGGTCTGTCCTGTGTCTCTATGGAAATGGTCCGTGTGTTCCCAACTGCTTGGGTGGGGAAACCGAGGCACAGGGTGAGGAAAAGCACTCTCTAATTCCTGAATTCCCCTGGTAGTGGCGTTATCTGAAGCACACGGAGACAAAGGGGGGGCGCCTGCATTGAACATCCACTTGAAGGCAGGAATTTGTATTCCGAGAGGACGTTCTCCTGCTCTGTGTCGGGAGGCTGCAGCTGCAGCGGCTCCTGCGCCCGGGCCAGCACCGCGGCTGGGCTCCCCAGGGCAGGACCAGGCCGGCAGGGAAACAGGGGCTGCCCCATGGTGAGGACCAGGCTGATGGGGGGACAGGGTGTCCCTGCCTGCGCCCAGGGCTGAGCCCCTGCAGTCAGGACTGGTGCACACAGGGTTGACTGTGGTGGTGCAGCTGCCTCTGGGAGCTGCCTGGTGGCGAAGCCGTTCCAGCTTGTTCCATAGATGTGCTTTGTGGACAGCTTGTGGCTCCCAATGGGATTCCTGGCACGTGCAGGAGCACACCGAGTCCCGCTCTGTCGTGTTCCTGTCCCGGCAGCTGCTCCTCTCACTCAGATGGGGGCCCGAGCACCACCCCCTGAGAGGTGGGATGTGCCTCCCCAGGAGAGCATGGAGCTGCTCTTGTGATGGACAGGCTGGACAGGGCTTGGAGCAAGCTGCTCTAGTGAAAAGTGCTCCTGCCCATGGTAGGGGGTTGGAACTGGAGGAGCTTTAAGGTTCCTTCAACCAGACCATTCTGATTCTACTCTGTGATTCCATGAGCTGTGTCTCCTGCTGCCAGAACTGTTTGGGCCATGTCCTATTTCCCTCACCCTCCAGTCGCTGCAGGAGCAGCCCGTGCTGCAGGTGCTGGCGGAGCCCATGTGCTCCACTGCTGGTCACCAGCTGCCCTCCAGGCTGGGTCTCCAGGTCAAGCATTTTCCCTTGTCCTGCAGCACAAGGGGTCTCCAGGACAATGAGGAACATTAACAGAGCCCACGCCGCGTTCTCTGGAAGGACACAGCCCACAAGGGTGTTTCCATCCTCCCGCCGAGGTCTCTTCTGTGGATGCTGGACCCCAGCGGCTGCTGCAGACTGCAAGGGGCACTCACCGAGGTGGAGCCCTGGGGCTCAAAGGCAACAGCCTCCTGCTGGGTACCGGCTCCCAGGGCTCCCTGCCATGGCCTGCCCGCATTCCCAGGGGAAGGTCACCCCAGCTCATCATGTCCCACTTAGAGTGGTGGTGCCGGTGCTCCTCTGCCTGGCAGGGAGAGGTGGGAACCCCAGCGGGTAGCAGTGAG